AAAGCGTGCATTGAATTTGAATGCTGGAGCGCGGAAAATCATTCATACATTTTCGATTGTCAATTTTTTAAACGTTCGCTACTCGCGATAATTATAGGTGTTTGCAATATATAAGTGTTTCTTTAAACTAATGGCGGATTAAGTGCTCGAGCAAAACAGAAGAAAGACTTTTTCTCTCGGGTGATGAATTGTACGTAAATATCCTGAAGCAACTTAAAAGAACTTTTCTTCCTTGAACACTCTATCGAGTACTTTAAATGTTTATGAGAAAGTGGCTTTTTTCAAATACTCATTATTTTTTGACTGATATTTCGATTTAAAATCCATCTACGAATACACATTTAAAAGTGAACCATATATAAAACACGTTCATACATAATTTCATCACTTGAATTATTTCTGTTGTTAGTAAAATAATGTAAATTTACATAAAACTCAGTTAAAATAATAAACTAATAAAATTATATATAATTGATTCAAAAAATATTTTAAAATAACACAATCATGTTTTAATAATATAAGTAAAAAACAAAAATAACATGTTTTTTTGTAATTGTGTTTGCGAATAAATGAAAAAAAAATAAATTAAACTTCCTCTTTTCCTCTACTTTAGGTTGTGAAACCTCATCCGAATGCAAAGAGAAAAAATTTAACGAACCGCACAAACAACATTTTTGGGAAAACAACGACCACAATATATCCGTACAAATTTCGACCCTATATCGATAAAAATAGTCTCTCCGACAATCAAGCTTAACGAAGACATAAAATAAACTGAAACCGACATTTATAAAAACATGATACTTTTGAATAATGAAAAAAAAATACATGATACATGATACGTTTTTAAAAACATGATGGATTAAATTAATGATAAAATTTAGAAAAACTAAAGTAAAAATTTTTCTTTAAGAAGAACCTATATCAATCTTTGATGAGTTATCAAAATTGTCATTAATGCCTTTCATCGCGAATCAAGCATTTTCAGTTTAATATTACAGATCTATTTTTTAAGAATGGACTGATTAATCTTCAAGGCTTTCATGATATTTTAAGGTAAAGAAATATCAATTGGGAAAGGAACGAGCACATAAAATCGGTGGCGGAAAAAACGGCGGGACTCCATGTGTCTCCGGCACTCTCGATATCTCTTCGAGTACTTTTTCCAACGTCTCTCATTTCTTCCTAGCTCTCTCTTTCTGTCTTTCCTTCTTCTCTAACAAGAAGAGACATTTGGTGCAGACCATTACCCCAGTCCTGGGTGCCATCGGCCATCAGCAGCGCGTTAAAGCCGCTGCAATTACAAACTCCGACAGTCTCATCCCCTTTATTCCATCCTGTACTTCTTCGTCCTCCTCTCACCATCCGTCCCCACGTTCCTTCCACTCTTTCTCTCATTTTCCCTTTTCGGTCCCTCGCTCGCTTCTCTCGCTTCGTCCGTGCTACACCGGCCCCATTTACATTTGCCCACTACTCTCGTAAAAGTAACTTTGTAACCCGTGCGGGCAGTAGTATCCGAGCCAGGATTCCGTCCTCTATTCCGGGGAAATTACATGTCGGTCGGCACCGCAGGCTCGAAAGAAGATTTCCCTTATCAAGCGCCGCTTCCTTCTACCACCCGGACTTCTCCATCGCATACTGGATGTCCACTTACACCCGGCAATCAACCCCTTCCGCGTACAATGACACGGACATGAATAACATGCAAAATTCCAAATACGTTTTGCGGGTAGATTATTAATTCCATGTTAGTTCTCACGCGTGCGCAGAGCTTAACGTCCTTTATGAACGATGCTATCAGATGTTGCGAAAAATACATACAACTGGCACGAAAGATTCGAACACCGCCATAATGGAATATATTCTCGCATACCTAATTTTGTGTTAATAAGAAAATTATACTTTTTTTATTTCTTGTAATTCTCAAATGTTAAAATATAAAAAATGCAGAATATTATTGTATATATTTTCCATTATATAATATAAAAATATATTAAATAAATTATACATGTTTCTTTCAATCACAACTCTGTCATCATTAATTATTTACGTCTAAAAAGTGCAATATATTACACATTTATATAAAATATAAATTATATTGAAATTATTTCTCGCGAAAATATGTTCCATTGCGCGATGTATTTTCGATTTTTATCTGAACTTTCTAACTAATCGATTGCATCGATTTTCGATATGCTTGAAACGCATTGGAGATTTGAAAACATCAAAAAAATTGTAGAAATACAAATACATACAGATACACACGATAATGCTTAAATGAGCGAAGAAGTTTGAACGTCGCAGTGCATCAGGTAGAGTGCTTCGCGAAAATCGTTCGAAAAGTATTGGAATGGCTGCATGATCGCAATGTTTACTCGTACCTCTTGAATACGACGTATCAATCACTCTGGGAAGTTGGAAATTTCTGGTATTTGGTAAAATTGTCGCATCACAAATGTCGACCCATCGATATTCTATGGCCGCTTAGAGCGATTAAATCATCGCGTGGAATTGCCGGCACCGAAGTGACGTCAGATTTTTCAGGTCAATTTACAGAGCACTTAATCGAGGATGAGCATGTGTAGAGTCGATGTTGACGTGCGTATTGAATCGTTTACATATGTTGAACGAAACAACGCATTTTTGGATAAGCGCTTTAACTCCTTTGTCAAAAAGCTTTTATATCCGAAGCAGGACGGATGTACACTCGGATAGATTTACGAAAATAATTCGTCAAAGGTAAAAATTGATAAACGTTATTAAAAATGTAATCATTGACTTTAATAAAAATTAATTAATTAACAAAATGAGTATTAATTTGTGTTCTTTTAACATTTATTTCATATAACGCATATAATTATTTTAAAATCTAGTTAAAATTAAAAGCACGAGATCTGTTTCTCGCACTCATTTTCACCGTGTAATCGCATTCCGTTTTTTACAGAATACAATATGTATATCTATGATGCAGCGAAATGGTACGAACTAAAAATCTGTATCATTTTTGTGCACACCGGGCACGTCCAGTTCAAATCTATCCATAAAATGAACCGCAATATTTTTCTAGAAGACAGGTGATGATTGTTATTCCGTCCCAGAAGATTTTCTTTAATCGATGATTTATCTATGCGATGTTCTCGCGAGGTCAAGTAGATATCCGTTTCAGTTTTTTTTTGTGCTTCTTTCGCGCCAATATCCCACGATAGCCACGATTACCGTTTCATCGAGCGCCGTAGAAATCTCTCTTTAAGTCCAGCGGCTCAAGCATTTAACCTCCGTGGTAATGGTAACGGTGTCAGTGTGATCACCGATTCGATATAGTATATCGAAAATGCCCAGGTTATACACCGAGATCATTGGCGGTTCGATTGCTCGACTAGGTTCAGCAAGTAATACGGTGATACCGCAGGGATTACACACAGAAAGCCACGAATTTATGGTATTCGAAAACATTCGTATTCTCAACGAACTAGACCAGTTAGACTTATTGTTAGTATATTCATATGCACGCATGTGTTTATTTCACGAAGCACGGTGCAGTTTATACATATATAAATATAAACCATCATTTTCCTTTACTGGAAATATCGGATATATAAACATTTCTAGCAATATCAATGCTCAAAGAAAATATCGAAAATATTTGCGAAAAAAACGCTGATATTAAAATGTACGCATTCTGCGAGAATGTCAATGAAAAAGAAAACTTGGATTATTTTGTTGAATATGAAAATTAATTAATCCGACAAATGAAAAAAATATAATAATTAAAAATATCATATTATATATCATATTAAGGATATTTTAATTAATATTATTTGGTATACTATAATATTAATTAAATACCATATTAGTATAATTAATGTTATATCATACGGCATAATAAAATAATATTGCGCCCTCGGCATGTACAGGATATATACGTCCAGAGATATTATCTGACCTTTCACCTTATCTCGTGAGAATTGCATCTTTGCGCCTCCGTAACCTCGGCACGCGAATCGAATCTAAGAAAGCTGACTAGCGACTAAAACTCATGAAACTGCCGGCGAAGTTTTAGTTGGATTAGTAACTTAGTGCGTGCTTATTGTCTTAACGAGTATCTATAATATTTCCGAGAACGTGACCTCTTCGCGGTTGTTCCAAGAATGAGGGTGAAACCACATGCTACTTGGCTACTTGGCTAATTGCATTAAACATCCAAGGAAGCGAAACGGTATAAGATAACAATTAATTTTTTATAACTCTGATATATGTATTCTTTTACCTTACATTTATCTGGCAGGAAATCGTGAGCTATCGAACACAGACATGAACAGCAGTAAAATATTTATCATTTAAAAATATTTTTTGCCTATAGGCACGAAGAAACAAAAGAGCCTGTTTCTTCGACAAGAATATTGTCTTTCACGTATTCCTAACGTTGTTATAAATTATATTAGAAGCGATATGCGTGTGAAATAGTTGTAATTAAAAAAAAATAGATATAATAGATGAAAAAATAAAGCCAAACAGACAGTAGCATTACAAAAAGTGAGAAGTTTACTACTAGGCAGTAGTTAGTGAGTCGGCCAGTAGCCTCGGATAGTTGGTGAAATCATAGAATACCGGCTCTACGCGTCAGTACGCTGTCAGAGGACGCAAGCGCGCTCGCGCCTCTTATCGAGTTCGAGAGCAAAAGCGACGGCTGCCGGTGCGGCGAGGGCAGTGGTAGTAGTAGTGATGGCAGTTATATATATCTGTAGATATATATAGAAGGAGAAAGAGGGGGCGAGGGTGGGAGAGAAAGAGAGAGAATATACGTGCGCTAGAAGAGGGTGGACCAGTTGTAGGTGGCGGCACACAGCCGAGTGTCGGAAGATAGAGGGGGATCGAGATGAGGGTGCGAGAGGGAGAGAAGCCGGCGGAAGGGTAGGAAGATGAAATGCAGGGTAGAGAGGAGAGGAGGAAAGAAGCGACGCGCGGAGGGTGACGGGTGCAGGCTACGAGTCGCGAGCGCCGCAGTGTTTGTCAGTCCTTCGTATGGACATCACGTTCGATGAGACCGATAGTACTCGCCGGTATTGGCATTCGTGTGTATATATATATATATATATATATATATTATATACATATATATATATAAAATCTATATAACGTTTTTGGCGGCATCCATCATCGTTGATAGCCACCAACGTCGATCGTGTAACGTGAATTCCGCTCCATAAATGAATCCGCGGCACTTGTTGTCGCGATTCTCGATATCGTCGTCGCCTCGTCACTTTGCCCGCGAGCGGACGAGCGACGACGTCGCGAGATCTCATCGGACAGCGGACGAGATGTGAAGACGTCGCCTTGGAAGCGATGTGGCTTCCGTTAGTGCTGCTCGCCTTGATGGCGAGCGGTTCCGCCTGTCCGGACCTCTGCGAGTGCCATCATCAGCAGAATGGTATCGGGAAGAACGTCTTATTCGCGCCGATTTTATTATACGTGACGTGTCGCGGACGCGTACCCGCTCTATCGGAAATACCCGCGGGAGTGAGTAGTTTCTCGGTGAACGACGCCGAGGGAACGGACGTCGCTGTTCTCCTGGACGAGCTGGAGACCGCCGATCTAGTGAACAATCTCGGGATGATCGATACTCCGGATAATGTGAAAGTGAACGAGACGTCGGGGACAAACGATACAACGGCAGAAGCGCTGCCGTATCTAATCGAATTCGCGGTGACAAATTGTTCGTTGGTCGCGTTGAACACATCGTGGCGCGGCCTCGAACGCTTGAGATCGTTAAATCTGTCGTGCAATAATTTGCCGCGAGTAACGGACACGCTGATGATTCACTCGATGAATCTGAGCGAACTGACATGCCTCGATTTATCGGACAACTCGTTATCGAATATCAGTGAAGGTTCCTTTAGGACGCTCATCGGGCTCGTGCGCTTGAGTTTACGTAAAAACGCGATCGGTGTAGTGGACGAGAAGGCGTTTCGCGGTTTGAACCGGCTGGAGTTTCTCGATCTGTCGGACAACAGGTTGGCAGACTTGCCGGATAGCGCGCTTACGCCGTTATATTCCCTGCAGAAACTCGATCTGAGCGGAAACCAGTTACAAGTTTTAGGTGCCAGATGGTTCGAAAGTCTCGACAGATTGAGGGAACTCGACGTCTCGCGAAATGGATTGGCCAGAGCGGCCGCAGGAACGCTGCAACCGTTACCGGGACTATCTGTTCTAAGACTCGCGGAAAATCCACTAAAAGAGAGAGACGTGTCTCTATTACTGGGCACCGGAAGAAGATTGGAGACGGTGGACGCATCTCGAACTGGCTTGGCGAGAGTTCCCGCCGCTCTAACGAGATCAGTCAGGGCTCTCAGACTCGCTGGTAACAAGCTGACTACTATTCGCAGCGGCGACTTGGATAGTTATCCTCTGCTACGTATGCTGGATATCGCCGATAATCGTCTGACGGATATCGAAAACGACGCTTTGGGGCGATTGGAGGTTTTAGAGGAGCTCGATCTATCTGGAAACGCACTTGCGAAAGTACCGGGAAGCTTGCCGAGCAGTCTCAGGATGCTCAAGCTTGAAAGAAACGCGATAACCGTGCTAAAGCTGGACGATCTCGGTGGATTGTATAGCCTACGGTCGCTAACGTTGAACGATAATAATATTAGCGAGATCGAAGTGGGCGCGCTCGGTCAACTGCCCCTGCTCGCCGAACTAGATCTATCCGATAATCCTATCAAGGCGTTATCAACTAACGCTCTAAGTGGGCCGAGTAATCTGGCCAAGCTCCGAATGTCGGGTTTAACGTCGCTTCAACGACACCAGGAAGAACAAAGTGATATGGCGTTCCCTGTACCGACCCCGGAGAGACTAATAATATTAGACGTGTCGCGTAGTCCGGTTCTTGCGAAGCAATTACTAGCGGATGACGCTGCACTGTCCGCCTGCAAGAGCCTGATAGAACTGAATCTCTCGGAGACAAACATCAGCACCGTTAGATCGGATCTCGCGTTTATGTTGCCGCAGCTGCGCGTGCTTAGGCTCGGCAAGAACAACTGGAATTGCACGGGGGATCTCTACTGGTTGGGCGAATGGATTCGGCAGCACCGCGAATCGAATCAACAATCGAGCCAGCCAGGGGCTCGATGTTTCGGTCCGCGAAAATTGGCGGGATTATTTTTGCACGAGCTGCCACCACCGCCGAATTTCATTTCCACGCCGAGCACCTCGATTACCGTCTCTGTCGTCTCTGTCTTCACGCTCGAACATACATCGCATACTGATCAGTCAAACGTCACGGTCTCTCCCGATATCAAAGATACGAATTCTGATCGCAATATCACGGATCCTCCAGCGTTATTTCCCGTAAACGCGAAAATCGAATCAAAAATCGGAGCTTCGAACGTTCTCTTGTCCGCGAAAACCACCGCCACGACGAAAATACCGAAAAAACCGCCGCGAATCTACGAGGCGCCGACGTCCTTCCGTAACGTAACGTCGTCAATCACGACGCGAACGAGCAGGGAACCGGGGCGAAAGAGCGATAAAACAAATCGTATCTCGATGGATCAGAATTTAATCAAGCACGCCGTCATCTCGTCGGCCTCTCGAGCCCCGCACGACCCCAAGCCATCCATTATGGGGACGGAAGACGCGGAATTGCGTCCGCAAACTTTCGATAACCGGTCCGATGGCGAGACGCGGAAAAACGAAACGAGCAAACTTGCCGCGTCAGGTGTCGGCGAGATCCTTTCGTCGGCGCCGACTTCGCACGTGGGAGAGAAAACGATCGAAAGGCACTCGGGCAGAATCGATAACTCGACAAAGGATAGCGCGGACAATTCGAAAACGATAGCGGAGGAACTCAACAGCCGGGCCGATTCGGCCGGTGCTAGGGTGTCCGAGGCTCTGTCCGCCGGTGCTCATCCCGGGATGTTGGTGCTGGTCGGCGCGGCCCTCAGCGCCGTCGCTGCTCTTACCATCGTCCTTTCGCGAAGAGCGACCGTGCACCGGACCGACCGGTATCATCGTCACGAAAACATCGAGGTGCACACTCTCACGCCTACCGCGGAGCTCTGGTGACCCGAGTCGGAATACATTCGTCTCTTTGAAAGGGACAGGCAATTGGACATCGAGAATCATCGCGACCGAGAAGCCGAGACAACGACGCCGCCTCAACAATCACGAAGCAAGTCGCGGCTGATCGACGTGTGTCTGAGAAAAATGTTCAAGTAGCGAGCGCGATATATCGCTGATCAAAGGCGCGCATCTTGTTATTGTGACGAGATCTAAATGGATCTGCCGAGCACGATAACTGAAGTGTTAATCAGAAAGTTGGAAGCATCCCCCTGACTGCGGAAACCATGGAGAAGGGAACGGGCGACTAAACGTCGAAGTTGGGAACGAGATACTCCGAGCTAATCCGTATCGCTTCGGAAACCGCCAATACGTTGCGGATTAACGGAGCAATATCTTGCAAAAATAACAAATTATTCAACTATCGTTTGAAACTTTTGTAAATAATCAAGAGAAAAGGCAGACAACATTATCGAGAGACTATTCAGAATATAATTTTCATAAAATTAAGAATTAAACAAAAATATTCATAATATTAAAGAAAGATGGAGATATAAAGGAAAAAAATGTTACTTATAAAATTCGTTTTTTTTTTTTAATCGTGTATCCGTTATCTTGCTTATATCGAGTTCTTTGCAAACCATGAATGATTCACTCGGTAAAATTGTTTCAATCGATCGATATTATCAATATCGGTATATTTTATCCGGTGAAAATTATCCGAGGATAACAAACTCCATCAACAACGGAGATGCAGACGTCAAGCGTTGTAACCAAGACGTTAAAAGCACGAACGAGGATGACCGCGCCATTTCATATGGATTTTGACGTATACAAACACATTCGGAGTTCTCTGTAACACACGTTGTCCAGCGAAAAATATAGGATGCATGCTACACACCAAAAAGTCGGGGAAAAAGCTGCGTGCGAAAAGTTCGACACAATTTCGAATCGTACATCGCGGCCGATCGATGTCGCGCGAGATCTTGATATAATAAACGCCAATTATAAAAAGAGACGCACAAAATGAAAATAGCTAAATGAGGTAAGAGAAGTCTAATCTATCTGCCAAATTCGCGACATTAGTGCTTGATATTTTCTGACCTCTTCGTCATCGCAGACGTATCATAATCGAGTGGCAATATTCGCGAACAAGCGGGCTTACCGATTTAACTAATTGGCTGGGAGCAGACCGATAAATTGGACATAGTGACAATAATAATGGTTACATGCCGCGTTTCAAGAGTTTGATTCTTTGCGGTACGCTCAATTTCTGAGAAGACTATATTGTGACTGAAATAAAGTGCGAGAGTGTAATAAAAGTAGGAAGAGAGCATAAGGCTAGCAAAAGAATAGAAAAACGTGAACGTGGTAGAGAAACAGGTAGGACAGCGCCAAATTAATGCAGAATGTAGGAAACGGTGGGAGGGTAAAAGGGAATGGAGAAGGATGCGAAAAATTTGCGGTGGCAAATAGTATGCTTGAACGATAAAATTAGACACCGAAACCGAGAACGAAACTGTTAAGCGGAAGAACTTTTATCGAACGGCGTGTGCGTGTGCGAAAAATTAAGTGTGTAAGAGAAAATGCGAGAGAAAAAGAAAGAAGGCTAATCCGGAAAACTATTCTCGAATGCAGTAAAACGGATGTACAGAAATATTGCTTCCATACTTAATTCCACTAAGCTTGGTGAGCCGTCAAGACTTCTTAACAAATACAAAAACGAGAGAGAGAATGCATGCGAGAAACAGAGTGAGTGAGAGGGAGAGAGGGGGAGAGAGAGAGAGAGAGAGAGAGAGAGAGAGAGAGAGAGAGAGTAGATAAATAGCGAAGAGGCTAAATATTATCTTTCTTAAAATAACCAGTGTCAAAATATCGCTATAATAATAAACCGATGTACAAAGATGCATCTTCGTCTTTCTCTTTACCTTTATCATTTTTTTTTGTTATGTTCTTCGTACAAGAAACGGGGATATATATGTTACATAGTATACAAAAGAATATTCACATAAATATTCTTAAGAAACTTCTAGAGAAAAATATGCATTTCTCTTATATAATACACACATATTTTAAAAACATATATATGATTTTCTTGTTAGTCTGAACAGCATAAATATAAAATATGTAAAAGAATAGTTTGTCATTCGTATGATAATTTTGTTAAGTTCATTTTTTTGTTTTTTTAAAATAAAAGTTAGGCGATATATATTTTATTATTTCGGTAGTTTCTATGAGAAAGATAATTACTAAAGACAATTATATTTAACATGATTTGTTAATATATTTATTAAGCAGGTAAGTATACTAAAATAATATTAATTATGTATAATATATATATTTTTATTACAATCTCAAACATGTTATACTTTAATTGAATTAGATAGAGTTGTAAAAATTATGCTCCTCCAAATTTTAATGTCAGAAATATTATTGACGTGCCTGACATCTTTTTATTTTAAATCGTTTAATTGAAATATTTGATAAAATTAAAATTTACCATTCGTTGTTAACCGTTTATTCTCAAACCAACACATCGAGATAAATTAATTAAAACAGACTTTTATAATAATTAAAAAAGTATTATTTTTCCTATTAAAAAATAAATGTTATTTGCACGTTCTTTTTCTGCTTCGTTAAAATGAAATCTTGATTATTAACAAAGCTTTATTGTTAGATATATATATAAATAATGTTTTGCATTTATCATTTCTCCTCTGAAAAGATAAACAGGACCGCTTGCATAGATAGTGTTTACTTTTGTTCTTGCAAGATTTTGATTTTAATCAGATCCGTGTCAGCGTTCCTGCAATTTACTGCACGCGTTAATTAAAGCAACGCAAACATTCATCGCATTCATTATAACCTCATTAACTCCAATGATAGCCAGCAAAAATTTCTCTTGCTTGTAACTAATTCTTTCATAATATTGAAACAATTTAAACACATCGAAAATAAAATTATTAATAAATTCAATGTAAATAAAATATATCCAACTAACAATTTTTTCAATAGAATAGTAGATGAGCCGTACATAAGAATGGAAATCGTTCTTCACGAAATATTAATAGATTCTACAGCAGAATTATCTAAAGTACTAAAGATAAAGATACGCTGCTAAATCGCTAGGTCTCGAATTGACGCAAATGTAATTTTATGGATAATCCAAAGCGTTGCCGTTTTACTATAGCCTGCAGGAAAACTTTCTGAACAACGATAATAATAACGAGTCGGGACGGCAATAAGGAAGAACGATACCTACGAAGTATATTGAATACAGCGATTCTACAAGACGGGGCAACCTTGAGCCTCAGTTTAAATTTCCTATAAAACAACTCATCGTGCAACTAAGAAATTTAATCACCGTATAGCGGCTCTCGGTTCACCCCGAGGCTACGGAACTGGCAAATTCAGTAACATCTTGCAGAAGTTCGTTATCCCTGCTCCCCTCTGTACCGTCGTCGGTTTACCAAGATGCCCGTACTATCTCGCAATATTGACTTCATCGATGAAAAACGGAATCCAGTTTAGAACTCATCTGCATACACCGATTCCAATGCAATTATTCTCTTCACGCGCGGATGTTGTATGCGGGCGTTATTGCACTCAAATAGCACGATATTGCACTCGAACAGCAAATGATCGGAGAGAAAAATTATGGAAAAGACGTTGAGAGAGAAAATTGATCGCGGATTAATCTATCACATTCGCGGATAACAATAACAGCGTGAACAATATTGCAGTTCTTATTAAACGTGTGTAAGTAGAGCAAATATGAGATAAAATAATGCTAGAAAAAAAAATTAATAAATAAAAATCAGTAAAAATCTATCCGATAATAATATATAGTTACAATAAATTATATTTATTATTCCGATTATAATCTGATATTTTTCATAATAATATTTAAAATCTTAAACTTGAGTTCTAATTATACTCGTATCGCACTACTTTGTATTGACACGTGCAATAAAAAGTGTATTGCAATTTCGAACTCAATTGCACATCGATCCCAACACAATTACTCCTTTCCCAACGGGAGATTGCAAGCTACGTTGTTACAATGCAATATATGCCAATCATTATAGTGCACAGAAGTGCGCATTTGCGAAGATTACTACTCATATTCTATACATGAATAGCAAAAATATGCAATGAGAGTGAGATTATTTTGCATACAAATAAAAAAATTATTTTAATCTTTCAGATCTTTGTTTTTTTAATCACACTTGTATATAATGAAAAACTTTTGCAGAAAGTGGTATACAGAGTTATTCCGGAATCTTTTACTATTTCTTAGTTTTAAATTATTTATAGCAACGAGGATTACCGAAATTGCTTAATAATGCTAATTTTTACAGGTATTTAGAGGATATGTTCATAAATTGTTTATAAAATTTTTTGTACATGAAGATGATGTAAAGCACTTTATATACAAGTACCTTTGATTAAATGTACATAGTTATATACGCTGCGGTAACGCAGTAGCGTTTCACGCAAACAGGAAGACATTTTGTTACGCAAATTGGTCTACGAATTCATTTGCAGAATTGTTTCGCAAATGGCAAATTCAATCAACCTACTTACCGTCCTCTCTCTCCGCGCATTCCGATTTATTATTCATAAATTCACCAACTTGATAAACACATATTTTCTAAATTTATGCACATATTATCCTTACGCTTTGTCTCTCAACTATTCATATGATTATTTGCATCAAGAAGGCAAATTGCTATTTCGTTAATCTGTTATACAATCCAAACTAGCTTTAATAAACTTCGTTAAATTTGCATTAAGATTTTTAGATTGAAAATATGTGATAAGCAAAATATGCACAAACTATTTCAACTCGTAACATAAACTCCAACGATCGAAATTGATACAAGAATGTCACATAAGAATAAAAAATTCTAAAAAAAGCAAAAGATTTCGGAATTTTTTTTAAATATTGCATTTTTTCAAAATTTACATTTTTAATTAAAAAAAATGTATATTCTTTAATATTCATCAATAATTTTAGTAAGGTTTATATAAAAGCTTGTTTCCTCAAGACTATCTTGGTATCGACGATGGAGAGTTCTATGTGAAAATGATGAAACAACCTATACATAAATACAACGAAAAGTACCTGACTCGAATCAATTATCCATTATTAGAGAGAAATTTACATTTTTAATTAAAAAAATGTATATTCTTTAATATTCATCAATAATTTTTGTAAGGTTTATATAAAAGCTTGTTTCCTCAAAACTATCTTGGTATCGACGATGGAAAGTTCTATGTGAAAATGATGAAACAACCTATACATAAATACAACGAAAAGTACCTGACTCGAATCAATTATCCATTATTAGAGATAGTGTTAGCTGAACTAATCCCTACGATCGACACAGAAGCACGAATGTTTGTCATTTGAGCTAGATAGTAAGAGAAACGTAACACACACTCTCTCTCTCTCTCTCCCTCTCTCTGAACACAGTAGCATTGATCGAGAGCCACGTCCTCTATGACACTTTCTGTACAAAGGAGAGAGCACCGACACGACGCCAAGGTAAACTAGGTCTTCATGGTAGGAGAAGCAGCGATCCTCTTCATCTCCGATCACCACAAACCGCCACCCTCCTCGTTGCGCTCTTTCCGATCGTACGTTCGCAAGCTTTGTGGTCTTTTTATTTGCCTCCAGTCTCATCGCTCTGTTACGTACCACGGAATTCTACCGATGATCCAACACAAACCGCGGCTCGAACATTTACGTAATTAGCACGTCGAAAATTTATTTTCAATTTTTATTCAACTAGATACGGACTTCAAATGATTTACAGAGAGAGAGAGAGAGAGAGAGAGAGAGAGAGAAAGAAAACGCGTGATATAAAAACTTTTTGAAATGAATTTGAAAAAATTTTAACAACAGAATATATACCTATCTCGTATAATTATACTCCTGTGAATGCATCCCATTCAGAAAACTTATAGAGATTGTTCGAAATAAAGTACGAGTGAGAAAATTGGAGAAGAAAAGAATTTTTTTTTACGTCCCGGCTCTGCAAAAAATTTCCACCACAACACTGGAACTTTATGCCAGTTTTACTAATTTCGCAGACTTAAAGTTTTTTTTATGGCTTGGCTAGTTTTTAATAAAATATCATAAAAATATGTGAAAGTTAGTCACACAAACAGTGTGGTACTTGGATGAATTATTGAAATAACTTTTATCTTCTGTTACTCGCCGTAAAGAGAAACAATAAACGTAAGCGCGCTAATAAAAAAGATGGAGATATGCATAGCGCAATAGCGATGCACTGTTATAAATTCGGAGGAAAATACTGCGTGAAAAATGTCCATGGATAAATTATAATTATCGCGATATCTTATCACAATTGTTTCAGCGAAAGCTGAAAAATTGAAGTTATAATTTTGTACCACGTATCGGATTTTTGCATTATAGAACTGCAGAAAATCCTATTAATTAAATGAATGTGCGTGTAATAGTCAATAGCTTTTTGTATGCATATTTTAATCGCGTATATGCCAAGCGCGCGTGTGACAGATAAATGTAAATTCCTCCTTCCTGAATATGCAATGTTTCGAAAGCTTGCCCGCGCCAACGATCGTTATTTTCTACTGTACTTTTTCGAAATGATTGACGAGCTACAGGGGTCGAGATTCTGGAAAATAATTAGCTATACTAATTGACTCCATTATTTATGTGGAAATAGTCTTGCTATTCCCTCGGACGTAAAAATTCGAATTACAATGGCCTAAAAAGCGA